CGTCTTTTTTTCTTTTGTGTGTGTTTAGGCAAGGAAACAGTTACTGTTCTTCCAGGAGCCTCTTTTTTCTCCAGCGATGAATCATTTGCGATGATTAGAGGGTATGTAATAATGGGGCCCCGCATGTTTCACACAGCATGGAATGAGCTGAGTCATCCCTTGAGTGTGTTAGCAAGACTGTGAAACACAGCCACATTCCCTAGCCAGAAAACTATCATGGGCTATTTGACTGCAAGAAGATGTGAAATTATTCACACTGAATGTTGGGCATTCAAATATCCATCCCACTAGTACGAAAAGAACCCCCAAAATGGAATATACATCTGTATGCCAACTCTACTGAAGTACACATATCTAAGGTCCTTTCTGGGGATCCTGACATTTTTTTCAAACTTCGTGTAAACTTTCTAGTTAGTGTTTGTCTTCAAATCGAGTCACATTCTCCCTCACTGAAGGAAACTCACTATGTATACCTGTTTTTAATTTGTTTTTGGAGACAATATAGGTTATAAATTTTTTAGGGAACTCTTAATGGTTATTTTTCTGCATTAGCTTGGAGCTGATCTGTTTGGATATCAGTTGTGAGGTGGGAGAAAGCAAATGTATTTTGGGGATATAGAATTATTTTAATTGCTGACAATTGCAAGCAAAGGGGACATAAAACTTGTAAGGTTTGCTTTATATTTCCTCTCTTTCCTTCTCAGGGGACATGTGAATCTAACAATGCTAGGAGCAATGCAGGTTTCCAAATATGGTGACCTGGCTAACTGGATGATACCTGTAAGTAGACATTTTTTTCGTCTGAATTATGCTTGGTACAATAATTATTTTTGAAATATTAAGGAAAATTTTTATATTGTTATGAGAGCTCAATATAATTATTAAAGCAGTGATGAAATATTTTAATGTGTTTCATGTTTGAATTAAATTTTAATTAAGCACTGAAAAGTATTTGACTTTGCCCATTTACTATCTAAATGGGACTAAAAATAGGCAAGATCAGGGTCAAAGCAACATTTTCCTTAGAGAAACGTAGTTTGGGAAGATAAAAAAATAAATGGGTTAATTATGCTCTGATGAAAGTAAGAAATACAAATATTTATTATAACTAAGTTTTTATAACTAGAAAGTACAATTAACAAGTTTATTAATTTTATATTCTATTATTTTCTCATTCACAGTGATTATTAACCTCTCTTGATTGGTCACACGACCCCATAANATTATAACTAAGTTTTTATAACTAGAAAGTACAATTAACAAGTTTATTAATTTTATATTCTGTTATTTTCTCATTCACAGTGATTATTAACCTCTCTTGATTGGTCACACAACCCCATAAATAATCAATTTCATTGTCTTCTATTAAAGAATGCAACACCTGTGATGCTTAAACATGTTTGTGAAATATGAACAGTTTTTGTTTAATAATGACCTAAATCAAGGAAAAAACCTCTTAGAATTAGCTTTGGAAAAGAGGACCGTTGTCAGTAGCTTAATTTATGAGTGTAGTTCATTATACAGTTTGTTGGCTTCTCATTATGTGCATGGAAACTAAAATGGGTGTGTGTCCATGAATATGAGCTTATTTTGGCTGGTTGCTCAGGTTATTCTTTTTAAGTGTGTGTTTAGGAATTTCCTTGTGTTTCTTTACAGCACCAGCTAAAAAGAATCTTGTCGAATAACTGAGGCTGGTGTTCTAAGACATGAAGCTTTTCTTGAAATCTCTTAGATTTTTTTTTTCTAATTTTTTTAAAGGAAGATGGGTTAATATAGTTGATAACAATGTTAGAGATTGTGTTTGTTTAGCTCTTTTGATCTAATACCACCTGAAATATTATTTTAAAATTTCAATAATTATTAAAGCCCCTGTTCTCAAACTTGATTGCATATTGGAATCACCTTGGAGTTTTAAAAAATATTAATGCATTGAGGTCCAGCCCCAGAGTTTCCAAGTTAATTCATCTGGGATGTACCCTGGCCACTGGGTGGTTTAAAGTGACCCAGATAATTCCAATTGTGACCAAGTTTGAGAATCAGTATATTAAAGAATTATGATAATTCATTCATATTTAAAATGTAAGGGAAAAAACAGCATTGAACCATCAATAGTAAGAATTCTTAGCAAATTATGGATTATATTGTTATTTTAGGTGTAAAAATATTGGTCATACTAAATCAACTATAGTTATAAGGGTTGGCAGTTTTGGGGAGCTTCAAAGAAATTAGGGGAAGGACTCCTGAGCATGGTATAAGTGAGTCAGATTGACTCACTGTAAGCTTATGGGAATACTTGTTTGTGTAGGAAATCAGAATGTATTTCTATTTCCAAATTTTAGAAAGAGGCTGTATAGGATAGTGGAAAGAGCACAGGAAAGTGAGCTCTGAGTTTTAGCCCTGACTCTACCAGTAACTAAGGTATGACCTTGAACATATCACTTAAGCTCTTTGGATTAAAGTGTCCTCATCTGTAAAATGAGGGTTTGAGACTAGGCGATTGCAGGGGTCCCAGCTGGCTCTCATAGCTTAGTGGTTTGTAGCAAGGGCCCTGTAATGAGATAGATCTGGGTTGAAATCCTGTTTTTGTAAATTGCTGGCATTATAACTAGAGCCAATTGTATACTTTTTCTCATCTGTAAAATGGGAATGACATGAGTAATAGTACCTACTTTATTGGGCTATATACGATTGCAGGGGTCCCAGCTGGCTCTCATAGCTTAGTGGTTAGTAGCAAGGGCCCTGTAATGAGATAGATCTGGGTTGAAATCCTGTTTTTGTAAATTGCTGGCATTATAACTAGAGCCAACTGTATACTTTTTCTCATCTGTAAAATGGGAATGACATGAGTAATAGTACCTACTTTATTGGGCTATATAAAGTAATAAATGAGATAATGCATACAAAATACACAGCACAGAGTTTTACACATAGTATGTGGTAAATAAATGGATTATTATTTTGATAAGTTTAGAGGGAGAAGTTGGGGATACCTGGCAGAGAAAGGAATAGCATTGTTTACTATAAACAGAAGCAATAGCATTTTAAATATGTCTGTTTCTATGGACTAATGACTTTAGAAATCATTTTGCACAGTGGACCTGGGTATGGAGCAGACATGTTCAACATGTTCTTTTCTCCAGTGAACTTAGGAATCTTTAGAAAGTCAGTATAAGATTTGTTTATATTATGATTTCGTATATAGTGAGGCTGGAGTCTCTCTTCGTGAGTGTGCGTTATGTGGTCATTTGTAGGAAAGAGCTTCCAATGTGTGTTGTATTTTTACATATTCCGTAAAGGTTCCTATGAATGATTAAAACCTCAGTGTTTATTACTTTATAATTGTCTTAATATAATTTGGAGCTCCTGAGTTTTCAAAGGAATGGACCTAGTGGGGTTATGATGGGGAACTCTGGAGTTCTGTAGGAACATCATGGTAATCTGGTTGAGGAAAATTAAGCATAAAAAGTGTTATTGGGTCTGGTTTCACTCCTTTGGTAATGGAAGCTGGTAGTGTCATTTCTGATTAGCATTTCTTTTGTTCCTTTAGTAACGAATAATCATTTTCTGACTTGCTTGTATGTGATGCACAATGTATGTTTTCATTCTTTGGGACTCAGGACAGCTTCAGATGCAAGACCATGAGGTTTAATTTGGATGAGATCTGGTTTGGATTTCAGCTCCACTCCTTACAAATTATATGATCTGGAGCACATGCTTTTGTTAGAATTAGGTGAGAAGAAAAGGAAAGTAAACACTGCAAGCACTCCATAAATAGTGGCTATTATTTTTATCTTCTTTGATACTCTATTGCTTAACATTAAAGAGGGAATAATTGCCTTAAAATACACTGACATAGACAAGATGATTTTACAGAAGCCAGTATAACCTGCTTATCCTAAGTTTGTATTCAAGTACCAAAAGTTGTACCCTTTTTTTTTTTTTTGTCTTTTTCCGTGTCCGGCAACAGATCGCAACCCTCAGTGTCGCCCCCGTACCGGACCGGGACCGGCAACGGGATCGCAACCCTCGGTGTTGCTCCCGCGCCTCGCTCAGCCAGTGAGCGGGAACCGGTCTGTATGTGGGATCCGAACCCTCGGGCGGGAGCGCCGCCGCGCTTCCCAAGCGGCGCACTATCCAGTGCGCCACCGGGCCGGCCCCCAAAAGTTGTACCCTTTGAGGACACATTTCTTGCTCTCATTGATTATGAATAAGATACAGCCTACTCTCATTCTGAAGTTTCAGTAAGCAATCTGTTTCTATTTGTCTCAAAGATTTATGTTGATTTATAAAATTTAGATATATATTTTATTGCAAGAAATCTGACAGTCAAGAAGCTGAAAAGTTTAGCTTTATTATATCAATTTTCATTTACTTTTATATTTTTACTGAGTTCAGTAATTTTTCAGTGATTGCATAAACCTTTAGTTTTCAGTATCACGGCATTACCATCCGTCATTACAGTGTCAGATTACAATAAACATTACACCCTTAAGGCAAGCAAATGGTGTGGATGATATTTGTCTTACCCTTTAATAGCTTCTTAATATGCAGCTTTGGTCCCATGTACACAGGTATATAACAATTCTGCCCTGAGAATCCAAAGAGGGAAAAGTTGAGAAAACAGTAGTTGACTTTTTCCAGTTTCCTGTATACTGTGACAATGGTCATATCATTTCCTCCATTATAGCATATCATTTCCTCTTGGTATACTCATTTGTTAAATGATAATATTTAACACATATGCTTATTCTGGGGATTAAATTACTTAATTTATTCAGTAAATATTTGTTAGGCATATATTAAGGGCCATGCAGTGTTCTAGCATTTTGGGTATGTGGCAGTTAACAAAACAGATGAAATTCTCTGTGTTTATGGAACTGATGTTTTAGCAGGGGTCAGCAAACTATGGCCCACGTACCATATCTGGCTCATACTGCCTGTTTTTGTAAGTAAAGTTTTATTGGGACACAGCCACATCCACTTTTTATATATCATTTATGACTGCTTTTGTTCTGCAACAGCAGAGTTGAGTAGTTGGGATAGAGACTGTGTGTCTTGTAAAGCCTAAAATAGTTACCATTTGGCCCTTTACAGAAAAAGTTTGCTGCCTCTTGCCTTAGATCATTGATTTGAAATCTTTCTTCTTTTCTAATGTAAGCAACTAATACATACATTTCCATCTAAGCACTGTATTAGTGACATCTCACAAATTTTTATGTGTTGTTTTTATTTTCAAATATTTTCTAATCTTTCTTGTTATTTTTTTCTATGATCCATTCATTATTTAGAAGTGTGTCAATTAACTTCCAGATATGCAGTGATTTTCCACATAACTTTCTTTAAAAAATTTCTAGTTTAATTCTTTTGAGGTTAGAGAACATACTTCATACGGTTTCAGTCTTTTTAAACAGTCTATCTTAGTGACTGTTCCATCTACACTTGAAAAGAATATGAGGTGCTCTTGTTGGATAGAGTGTTCTATAACTATCAGTTGGGTCAAATAGATAGACAGTATTGTCCAAGTCTTCTGTGTCCTTCTGTCAATTACTGAGAGAGTAGTATTGAAATCTTCAGCTATAAATTTGAATTTGTCTATTTCTCCTTTCACTTTTTGCTTCATACATTTTAGAACTCTATTACTACTTATGTTTGCACATGAGATTGTTGTGTTTTCTTAATGCGTTAACCCTTTATCATTTTCTCTCTCTATGTCTAGCAATATTCCTTATTCTGAGGCCTATTTTCTAAGATTAATATACTGCATAGTATATCTTTATCCT